AATTTGGCTTATATTTCATAAATTCTAGTTAAGTTTTTACATAGTTCTAGTGATTCTTTGCACACACTAAAGGGTTTTCCATGTCCACAATGGGAAACATTAAGGTTTTTCATTCATCAGTTATTCATTTGTGCATCCAGTAGGGTCAGCGTAGTCTTGTGGTTAAGGAGAGCAAGGGTTCTGGAGTCAGACAGGTCCAAGTACTGGCATGTACCAGCTGTGTGATCTGCACCTCAGTTCCTTCATCTGTGGAATGAGAGTAATAACGGTACGCATCTCGTAAGGTTAGTGTGAGGATTAAATGAGATATTTATCGAAAGCACTTAGAATGCTCCCATTACATAGTGAATGATTAGTAAATGTTGTATCGCTTTAATATCACACTTGCCAGCTGGGTTCCATAGAGCCCTGGTTTTAAGGTGTTCTGGGCTGTGCTCCCCCCTTCCAGCCAACCAGAAGATCTATACTTTTTTCCTTTTATTTATTTATTTATTTATTATTTTATCTATCCGAGAGAGTGTATGCATGAGCGGGGTGGGGGTGGAATTGCAGAGGGACAAGCAGACTCCCCGTCTGAGCAGGGATCCTGATGGGGGCCTCGATTCCAGGACCCCGGGTCATGACCTGAGCCAAGAGCAGATTCTTAACCAACTGAGCCACCCAGGCATCCCAATACTTTTTTCCTTTTAAACTGGAATTCTGGGGGCACCTGGGTGGCTCAGTCGGTTAAGCGTCTGACTCTTGATTTCAGCTCAGGTCATGGTCTCAGGGTCATGAGATCAAGCCCGAATTGGGCTGTGCACTGGGTGTGGAGCCTGCTTGGGATTCTGTCTTTCCCTCTCCTTCTGCCCCTTCAACCCCCACCTGGCGCTCACGATTTCTCTCTCTCTAAAAAAAAAAAAAAAAAAGTTGGAATTCTGTGTAAGATTTCATAGAGAAAGAAAAGCTATACTGGGGCGCCTGGGTGGCTCAGTCGTTAAGCGTCTGCCTTCGGCTCAGGTCATGGTTCCAGGGTCCTGGGATTAAGCCCTGCATCGGGCTCCCTGCTCGGCGGGAAGCCTGCTTCTCCCTCTCCCACTCCCCCTGCTTGTGTTCCTTCTCTCGCTGTGTCTCTCTCTGTCAAATAAATAAATAAAAATTTAAAAAAAAAAAAAAAAGCTATACTGCTTTTACTAAAAACAGAAACTTAAAATTTCTGCTTTAACAGCATATCATGAACCAATTTCATGTTTGAAATTTTAGTTAGAACATCTAACTGGAAGTACAGCAGATGTCTACTTGGAATATATTCAGCGTAACTTACCTGAAGGAGTTGCCATGGAAGTGACAAAGGTATGACTTGAATTTTTAGCTCCGATGGAGAGAGATGTGTATTGTTGTTTTGCTACTTTGCAGCCCTGTCCCGGCCCACTGAGTGGAGGGTAGGGCCTGGGCGGACTAGAGGCAGAGTTGCCACAGTGGCTGGGGTCTCTGCCTCCCGTATAGGCACTGCAGCCCAGCAGATCCTGCCAGTGCAGCCCACATCCTCCCCAAGCTGCCCCTGAGTCTCCCTCCCTCTTAGTAGTTGAAGACATGGGGTCCGCATTCATGGGCAGTCCCTGGAAATCACTGAGTGAACTATGTGAGAGTGTTTTATATACCATCCAGGTTCCTCCTCCTTATTTTAGAGCCCCACACAAAGATGCGGGGGGAGGGGTGAAAGGAAAAAAGACGAGAGGATTTAAGGGAACAAAACGAGTAAATCCAATTTGTGGCTCAAGAGTTCAATTAAGTCCACATTATGTTATAGTTTTATTTTTCTCTTTTTAGACCAAATTAGAACAGTTACCAGGACACATCAAGGAGCCAATCTGGGAAACGGTACCAGAAGAAAAAGAAGGCAAGTCCTAAAGTCTCAGCGAGTCCACTGGTGCCGGCATTTGACCCGAGAGGGGGTCAGACACATATGTTGAGATAGAGAGGCTTCCAGTCGGGAGATAGAGAGGCTTCCAGTCCACCTGACCACTCCGTTGAGCCCACATGAGCCCACATGCCCTGAGCAGCTCACAGCAAGGGGCAGAACTTTAATGACACACTGGACTAGAGTGAAAAACCACTTGACCTGTTCTTCTGTACACATCATCATTTCAGTTCTGATTTTGACAAATGTGAGCAAAGCGCTCTGACTGACTACTGTGTGCCAAGAGAATCGAGTTTATAGCTTGTTCCTCTCTTACTGTTCAATGATGAGTTCGCACTGATTTTAATGTGTATCATTTCATCTGAAAGTGAATCTTTGGAAATATTCCTTATGTACATTTTCCCTTTTGAGCCCCCTAGAAGGAACCTTCAGTTGATTTGGTTAATTTAACACCGAACAGTTAAAGTTCTTCATATTTACCTCGGTGCAAGCTGGCAAATGCTAGTTTGGGGATGGTATCCTCCAAATTTTACCTCATTTACGCGTGACATTCTTGAACATGAATATACTGTGCAGCATCTCACGCACATTTGTGGCATGCACTGAACAACTCTCGTTGCCCAAACCCTTACCAGACTGCGTAGAAGGATCACTGTTAAGGAATTTGAGCTCTCGAGAAATTACTGTATCACTTTTTTCATCCTGTGATTCACTCAGCAGGCTTTTATTTTGTTAGCTCTGTAACCAGCACTGTAGAAAATAGCGAACATTGAATGGAAATAATGGCTTTTGAAAACTGAGCAGGGCACAAATGTTTTTCCTTATTAAACCCCACGGTGATAAGGCCTCTTTCTTTTTGTAAATGGCATTCTTTCTGTTTGGAGAGGTCTACTTTTCCATGAAATTAAATCAGAGTTAAAGGCCTGAAAAAGGCAAGACTACAATGTGCTGAAACTGCGGGTGTATCAGCCCCAAGGGAGTGATTCGTTTCCTATTTACAGCACAATTGGGTCCATGTCTTTTTGCAGTTTCCTTCACGTCTTTGGGGTCGTTATGACTTCTCAGTTTTTCCCCCCTTAAACCGGCGTCCGGGTTCTCTTTTCCCCAATCTACTATCAGGGATCAATGTTTTGAATGCATGCTGCTTCTGTATCAGACTTACAGTACTGTCATTAACATGAAAAGAGTTACAGCCTCATGCCCCGTGACCTCATTCAGTTCCCAGCTCAGTTGTTGACCGGTAAGCATCGTGATTAAGAACTAGTCGATAAAACAAGAGCAATATAACGGAACTGTATCTAGCAAAGCAGCAATCTGTGACCCATTTTTACTTTAAAAGAAATAATTTCTTAAATATAGATCACTTAAATCTTTGTTTTATAAACAATATTAATCACTGTATCATAAGATGATTTATGCAAACTCACCTCCAGTGACTCTCTGTGAGCTCCTTTCAAGGTGTGCATCCACTTCGAGCTGTTTTCAGACTAAATCAGTCTATAAACCAGATTACTTAGCACTTCAAAATACATATTAAAATCTTGTTTTAAGGTGAATGTACAAATAAACTACAAACCTAACAAAAACTAGCGGTATTTTTTTGACAAAAGTATTTGGCATATTTGAGGCCTACTTCCTGATATAAACAAGATCATTTCTTCGTCCTGACAGGACCTTTTTTTAATTAGGTCTCCTGAGAAAAATGCCTATTCTGAAAATCAGAATTAATACCCAAGTAGCGTGTTTTGTCTGTGTGGGGAAGGGAGGTCGTGAGAGAAAATTACCTGATGGAATGAACCACAAGGCAGGTAGGAAGTGAGGTTATTTTTTGTTACTGAGGTGTAACCCTGGGTTCATTGTTGTTTTCTCTGATCTGAAATATATTTTCTTTTTATATTAAATAAAATAATGTTATCGTCTGTTTAAAGTGATTGCGACTTCCACAGATTAGACTCACCCAGGGCCTGGTTTTGATGCTTTCAAAGCAAATCCCTGACAGGTTCTTTTGGCCATTTTTACACGCCACAGTAAATACATACAGCAATTGTTTTCAGCCAGTAGTCTAATTTCCGAACATTTCTACTTGTTAAAGCTACCATTGCTCCTTTCCTACATTGTATTATTTAGTTTTACCACAACCCGAATGAGTAGCAGAGTAGAGAAAACAGACTTTGGAGTCAGGCCTGAGTCAGGTAAGAGTTCAACCCCCTAACTGCTTTAAACTTGGGCGGGATACTTAACCCTGGCAGAGCCTCAGTTTCCTCATTAGTAAAATGTAGGAAACAGTACCTACTTATTAAGGTTAGGAGTGTTAAATTAGATCGCTTAGAAGCGCCTCACATCACACCGGGCGGATAATAGACCTCCACTATATAAGAGCTGTTTCTGGGGCGCCTGGGTGGCTCAGTCGTTAAGCGTCTGCCTTCGGCTCAGGTCATGATCCCAGGGTCCTGGGATCGAGCCCCACATCGGGCTCTCCCTGCTCGGCGGGGAGCCTGCTTCTCCCTCTCCCACTCCCCCTGCTTGTGTTCCCTCTCTCGCTATGTCTCTCTCTGTCAAAAAATAAATTAAAAATAAATTAAAAAAAAAAAAAAAGAGCTGTTACTGGCTGGCCGTATACAGCCGGTGAGGCGCCAGGTGTTTGCGCGCTGTAGGCTCTGTTTAAAAACTAGGTGGAAAGGACCTCAGTATCTCCAAGGCGAGGACAACACTTAGAGTGGCTGCAAAGTCTTATTTACTTGCTCAAGTTGATGCGAAGTTTAATTTAGATGAGAAAACACATAACATGCTTATTATAATCACCACCACCACCCATTATGCCAAGCATTTTACATAGTCATTATAGATGCTATCTTATTTAATCTTCCTAACAACCCAATAAAGTGGTTACAATTACCTCCATTTTTTTTTTCTTTTAAGATTTTATTTATTTGACAGAGACCCAGTGAGAGAGGGAACACAGAAGGGGGAGTGGGAGAGGGAGAAGCAGGCTTCCCGCCAAGCAGGAGCCCGATGTCGGGTGCAATCCCAGGACCCTGGGCTCATGACCCGAGCTGAAGGCAGACGCTTAACAACTGAGCCACCCAGGCGCCCCTATTACCTCCATTTTGCAGGAGAGAAAACCAAGTTATGACTAGCCCACTCAATCACCCTTCCAGTTCACAGATGAAGCCGAGACCAAAAGTGCAACTGACTGGTGTGAGTTCCAGTTAAAGACAGGGACAGCCTAGAAAGGCTAGGAAGTACTCAGATGTCCACATATTAAATGCAGAATATTCAAACCTAAAATCCAAATTCATTTCCCCTTGTACATGAGCAAAACCTACTCATTTCCCTAAGGCTTAGAAGTAAAGAGATTGGGGGCACCTGGGTGGCTCAGCCAGTTAAACATCCGACTCTTGATCTCAGCTCAGGTCTTGATCTCAGGGTCGTGAGTTCAAGCCCTACATTGGGTTCCACACTGAGTGTGGAGCTGACTTAAAAAAAAAAAAAGGTTGACTAGGGGGAAAATACCTAAAAAATAAAAGGTGTAAATCTGTATGAATAAAGGCAAGAAGCATAATATACAGTGCAAACCCTGTGGTCTCAGGGCTGACACTGGTCCTAAGTGTCCGAGGGTGCAACAGGAGAGTTGAGGCTTCAGCAAGGGAGTGCCACTGGGTCACAAGAACAATCGGCATTGAGATGATTTACAGTAGGCCTTCAGGCCAGGCCTGTCCAGGGCTCGGCGGACTCTGGCTTGTAGCTCTCAAACATTACTCCTGGAACCAGGCTTACGGCTGACCGTCTGCGATCCCCAGGGTTCTCTGCAAATCCCTGCTCAATTCCTAACCCTGCCCTCCTTAAATCGTTGCTATTGTTACTCACTTCCAGCTATCATTTCTCTGTATGGCTCCTAATCCTCTTTAAAATGGTATATTTATACCTCAACAGCTCAGCAGTATTTAAGGGCAGGTCATGGACGACTGACCCAAACAAAAGAAGCCAAATGAATTTTAGATTCCTTGACCAGAGGCTAAATCAAGTTAATTTCATTCATAGTTTTTTATTTTTTTTTAAGATTTTATTTATTTATTTGAGAAAGAGAGCACAAGCAGGGAGGAGAGGGAGAATCAGGCTCCCCAAGCAGGGAGCCCCATGTGGAGCTCGATCCCAGGATCCTGAGATCATGACCTGAGCTGAAGGCAGATGCTTAGCCGACTGAGCCACCCAGGCGACCCTTGCTCATATAGTTTCTTAACTTGAGCATGGCTCCTGTGCTTTAGTCACTCCTCAATGTTGCTTGAATATCGATAAACACAAAGAGACGGGGTGACACCCCTTCACACCCAGCCAGTTCAGGTGCTGTTGGTGCAGAGCCTCAGCAGCTGCTGGGCACATGTCTTCAGGTGTGAGGAGATGGGGAAAAGGTTAGAAATCACTGGGCCATATGATCTTCAAGGCCTCTTCCAGTTCCAAAATACCACTGCCTTTTCACATCAGCAGCTACCTGCGAACCCAGCCACTCTCAAAGGAATCAAGGGAGTTCTATCAAATTAAGGAGTAAGAGCACCGCCTGTGTGCTGAGCACTTTGCTCAGTGACTAAATAAGTATTTGAGTTTCTTGTATGTGCCAAGCACTGTTCTGGACACTGGGAATTCTGTGTATACAATGAAGTCCTCTCCTCAAGGATCTTGGACTTGGTGGAGAAGACATAATAAGGGGGGAAAAAGAATAAGATTCAGTTAAGCATGATGAAGCAAATAAAATAGGATAGTGTCAGAGTGACTTGAGTGGCTACTTGAGGTGGGCTTGGGAAATCTCTCTCTGAGGAGGGAAGAGTGTCAAGAAGACAGCCATGGGAAGCCAGAGGGGAAGAGCAGTCTGGGCAGCAGGAGCAATCAATGGTAAGGCCCCATGAGTTTAGTGTGTCTGGGGACAAGGGCCGAGGAACATGAAGACCAAGTAGGCAAGGGCTAGATTGTGTCAGGCGTCATGGCTGTAGGAAGGAGCATGGATTTAGTTCTGAGCGTGAATGGGAAGCCATTGGAAGGTTGGCAGCAGGAGAATGACAGATGAGGTTGATGCTCTAGAACACATTATTCTGGCTGCTGGGTAGGGACTGTGAAAGGGGGCAGAAACACCCTTTAGGGGTTAGGACCTACTGTAGGGGACCAGGTGTGAGGACATGGCCTGGATGAGAGATGCAGTAATGGAGGTGATGAGAAGTGGTTGGATTCAGAATATGGTTTGGAGGCAGAGTGGACGGAACGGCCTACTGGTAGATTGAGATCTAAGAGAAAGAAAAGATTGAAGAAGGACTCAGCCTACCAGTAGTATGTGGGGGTGAATGAGCTCACCTGGGGGGCGCTGTGGGGAGGTGAGAAGGGTACCGACCAGGAGCCTGGGAGCCCCAAGCAGGAAGAGATTTGTTAAGCAGGAGGAAGTGCAAGCAAAGGAGATGAGTGGTCAGTGAGGTTGGAGTGAAATCAGAGGAGTGTGGGTTCTTGAAACCTGGAGTGTTTGAGGAAAGAATTCATTGGTTGAACCGGGATGAATCTGTTGGCAGATTGAGTAAGAAAAGTAGGTCATTGGTGACCACTTCTCCATGGAGCAACAAGGATGAGAGCATCCAACTGGAGTAAGCTGAGTGAATAAGAAAGAAGAGGATGCAAAACAGTTTTGAGAATGTTCGGTTATCTATTGCTACCTGAAAAACACCCAACCCCTAGTAGCTTCAGTGACACTTACTTCGCGCATGAATTACAGCTTGGTCACGGCTCTGTGGGGACAATGCCTCATTTGGTATCAGCTGCAATGGCTGGAAGACAGGGGCTGGAGTCATCTGCAGAGTCACTCACCCGACACTCCTGGTGGTTGAGGCAGGCTGCCAGCTGGAACCCCCGCAGGTGCTCTGGGCTTCCCACAATACGGGGCTGAGCTCCAAGGGTGAGTCCTGAGGGAGAGCCAGGCAGAAGCCTTATCGCCTTTGATGGAAGTCACCCAGTGTCCCTTTTGCCTCTTCTCTCCAATGAGTAGCCACAAAGTCCCATCCAGGTTGAAGAGAAGGAGAAATAGACTCTTCCCTTGATGGGAGGAATGAGTGAGACCAGATCTGTTGCTGTGCAATTTTTGGAAAATAGCATCTTCCACAAGGGGTTTTGTTAGAAGAGGAGCTAAAATTAAGACAGTAGCTGGAGGGCCAAGGGGATGCAGTAGGCACAGTGCCTGGGGCCCCCAGGATTTTTAATTTCTTTTAAATGTTTCATTTCTTTCAAAATCAGAAGAAAGAATGAGAAAGAAGTATAGTCTGGACTGGATTGTGTTCATCTTTATACCAATGAGTGATAAAATATTTTCAACATTTATTTAATATTTATTTACCCAATATTTATCTTATGACGCATGAAGGCAAAAGCGTATGGACCCATTGCAAGTCCCATAATGGGACCCTGAATGTGGAGTCAAAGAAGGATTTTTGTTTGGTTTTGTTTTAATAAAGGTGATATTACGGCAGTTCGCAGACAGGAATGATCCATTAGAGAAGGATAAGCTGAGGATGCAGCAGAGAAAGGGAATAATTTTGGGAGTGAAGTGCTTGGGTAGCCGGAGAGATGAGACCTAGCAGAGGAGCCGACAGGTGGAGAAGGGAAGGATCACCACCTCCAGGGACCCAGGAAGAGGGCGAGAGCATGGGCACAGATGCAGAGAAGTCTCGTGGGAAGTTGATGTGCTCATGTGGTGATGCATCTACTCCTCTCTGCAGTGAAGTTTGTGACAAGGTCATCAGCTGGACATGGGAGTGAGTGGAAGGTCTGAGGGCAGGCAGCTTGTGGAGAAGTCACCTCAGGAGGGGGAGAGTGACATCAGCAGGGAAGAGCATGTACTAGTGCCTCGTGGGCGCAGGTGAGGTGTTAGCCAACGGTTAGTGGCTTTAGCCGGGGTCAGGTTCTGCCAACTGAGTAGTTAGAGGGAGAGAGGGTCACGAAGCTCAGGGTCATGACAAGGAAATGGCAAGAGTGTTGGGCTGTGGATAAGGATAAAGAGGAAAGCCAGGGTATGAACGAGGTGATGGGTGTTACAAAACAAGATCAGCAGGTTGCAGCAGGTCAGGCTGGTGCCTTATTGGGTGAAGGTGTTAGAGAGTGAGCTGGAAGTGAATGTCTCAGAGGGGGTTCAGAAATGTGTGATTGCAAGGCCTACAGTAGTGGGGCCCGAACTTCAGTGTGCTTTGGAAGCATGCGGAGGGCTTGTTCAAACACAGATCACTGCGCCCATCCGCAGGGTTCTGGATTCAGTAGGAGAGGTGGGGCCTGAGAATCAGCATTTCTAACGAGCTCCCAGATGCTGCAGCTGCTGGTCCAAGGGACCACAGCAAATGGGAGGCCAAGGCGGGGTGGAAGAAAAGCTCTTTGGAACGAAGGAGATCGGGGACCCGTGAGGCCGGAGTGGGGGATGGATCCGCTCTCCACCTGGACGTGGGAGTCACCAAGCTGGTGCCTTGAGACAAAGTGGTGAAGTCGCCGGTGAGTGATGGCAAGTGGGTTGAGTCGGACGTGGCTTTAAAGGGACTAGTGTTTTTGAGGCAGAAAAGAGAAAAAGTGGAGGCAACAAGTAGGAGCGGGGAAGCGAGCCCTATTCTCCTGACCCCAAGGGATGTGGATGGGACGTGGGAGAAAAATCCATGAGCGCTTGCAAGGATGACCGCAAGTGGGGTTCCAACCCCAGGAAGGGCAAGAACTTAGAAGAACGTCAAGAGATTAGGGACAAATGGAGGTGGGGCGTTATGTGAGAGAGGGGGTCAGGCCTGGAGGTGTACAGAACGATTCAGGAACGGACAGCCAGTGGGAGACAGGCAGTGTTACCCCTGAGATTAGAAGACTCACTGGAACAGCTGCTCCTAGAATCTAGAAAAGTGCATCAGATCTTCTGGTTTCTTGAAGGTATCATTTTAATATTACATTAAAATAAGCACAGGGCGGCTGGGTGGCTCAGATGGTTAAGCGTCTGCCTTCGGCTCAGGACATGATCCCAGGGTCCTGGGATCGAGTCCCGCATCGGGCTCTCTGCTCCTTGGGAGCCTGCTTCTCCCTCTGCCTCTCTCTCTGTGTCTCTCATGAATAAATAAATAAAATCTTTTAAAAAAAAAAAAGCACAAATATATAATTGATTCAAAAACAAATTTGCAGGTCATTTAATATAAAAGCAAGAGGCTTAGAGGTATTTTAAGCCATGCTCCCAGATCCTTCTCATGTACTCACTCACACTTGGGAGAGAAAGTAGGAGAAGCCTGTCCCTAGGTCTTGCGTGAAGGGTGTTGGAAGGAAGCATTTGTCCTTTAAATTGGAAAATGGAAAATTTCCAAGACTCAAGGGTGTGACTTGCTGAGACTGAGCTTGGGGACCTTCGCGTCACCGATTCTGCTGCTTCTCACTGGGCTGTGGGGAGGAGTGAGCCCCAGCTCGCCAGCGGGTTCTATTTCGTGGGCTAGGAGTTGGTCTTGCGCCCCTCTCTGGACTTCAGAGTCTCCTGTGTCTCCAAGTCGGGCCTCTCTGGAGCAGTGCGGTGCCCAACTAAAGGAACGGGGAGCGTGTGTGAGATGGTGGGGTGTCAGTGTCCTGCCTTTCTCCCCCTTCCCAATCTGCCGGGGAGGCTGAGTTGCGTGGTTGGTGAGACTGAAGGGAGGGGTGAGGCTGGGGGAGCTCAGCTGCCTGGAGGTCAGACCTCCCAGAGGAATCTTCTAATGATCTTAGGGTGCTGAGCTGGGCTGGTGCCACCCCCCCTGCCACCTGCCCCTACACGGCCCATCGTGTTCAGTCGCCAGGAGATGATGAAGAGGCTGGCTGAGCGGAGGAGAGGCAGGAAGAGGGCCCTCGCCTAAGGCACGGATCCGCAGCAGCCCCCGAGGCGGCACACACCCTGGCTCCCTGACATCCCCCCCAGGCCAGGATGGGGCAGCAGTTCAGCTGGGAGGAGGCGGAGGCGTCCGGCGAAATGGACTTGGCCGAGCTCCAGGAGTGGTACAAGAAGTTCGTGGTGGAGTGCCCCAGCGGCTCTCTCTTCCTGCACGAGTTTAAGCGCTTCTTCAAGGTCACAGGCAACGAGGAGGCCACCCAGTATGTAGAGGGCATGTTCCAAGCCTTCGACAAGAATGGGGTAAGTAGGCACCGAAGGGAGGACGGCGGCCAGCCCGCCTGGCTCACATCCGTTGAGCCAAGGGAGCATCCCTGGTGGGAGGGAGCTCCCCATCCCCAGTCCTCCTGCTTTCTTCTCTCCATTCCCTGCTCCCCTTTTCTGTCTCTCTCTTTCGCCCACACTCTTCTCTCTTCCCATCATCCTGTCCCTTCCCATCTTTCCTTCCCTCCTCTCTGTCTCACCTTCTCTCCCTCCGTCTCTCTGCTCTTCCTGACTCTGCCTCTCCTCCTGCTGAGAGCTGAAGGTAGGCTGGGCAGAAGGGCACACAGGTCAGTCCGCAGTCTGTGTATTTTGGGCCAAGGCTCTACAACCTAAGGGCTTGGTTTTTCACACCCACCAGAGCCCCTGTCACTCTAAAGATAAGGAGCTAAAGAGCTGCCCCAAAGGGCTGAGCTCCCCCTCGTTGGGGTCCTTGGAGTTGAGACCAGTCTTCCCACCCACATGCTGGAGGGGCCTCCTGTGCTGATGGGGCAACTGGACGGACGATGCAAACGTCCCTTTCAAGTCTCCTAGTCATGGAAGATTCCATGAAATCATTCAACCACAGGATTTCTTTAAGCCCTCCAATGGTACCTGCAGCTGAGAAGATGCTATATTTTGTTAAGTGCGAACCTGGAGATTGATTTTAGAAATGGAAACCCCTTCATTCTTTAAGGTCATCCATCCAGTGCCTCCATGATCCTTCAGATCATTAGATTTGTCTCAAGTACTATTTCCGCCCCCCAAATTGAGGGGAGGGTGTTGGGCCTAGATAACTGATCTGGAGAAAGCCTCCATACCCCACTTCTCCATGCGTGGAGAGCTTCACTCCCTAGGCTGAATCACTGGGAATGCCCTTCAGGGCTGACCTTGGCCTGAGTACCAGTCAGTGCACATCTCCTCAGCACCTGTCAGGGGGGATGGGAGGGTGGGGTCAGCGTCCTCAGGGCAGCAGAAACCTCCCTGGAGATGAACCGTATGAACTCCCTCAAAGGGCACAGACTGAGCTTCAGACTTCTCCAAGCTCCTTCTCCAAGCCCACCGCAGCCCACTTCATTACCCAAATGAAATGACGAAACAACCAGGACAAAAGGAAGTGAACTAATTGGCCAAGATCATATACTGAAGGGTCCTGACTCCCAGTCAAGTGTGCCTGCTGGGAAGGCAGTTTGTTTCTGGTTTTGTTGTTTTGTTTTGTTTTTGAGAAAGAGAAAATGATTTTTAACAAAACATGTCATACATCACACAAGGCTTACTATCATAAATATGTCAGTCTTCTCCATATTCGTCTAAAAATTCAGTATAACAACTCAAGATCCCAAAGGGATTGTCAAGCTACTGGGCATAATATAGCTGAAGCCCTTATACCTCCCTCATCTCTTCTTACAAATTAGCATGTGATAGGCATCGACTGCTTTCTTCCTTTCTTCATAACTTTTTTTTTTTTTAAGATTTTATTTATTTATTTGAGACAGAGAGAATGAGAGACAGAGAGCATGAGAGGGAGGAGGGTCAGAGGGAGAAGCAGACTCCCTGCCGAGCAGGGAGCCCGATGCGGGACTCGATCCTGGGACTCCAGGATCATGACCTGAGCCGAAGGCAGTTGCTTAACCAACTGAGCCACCCAGGCGCCCCTCTTCATAACTTTTTAAAAAGATTTTATTGATTTATCTTAGAGACAGAGAGAGAGCACAAGCAGGGGGAGGGGCAGGCAGAGGGAGAAGCAGACTCACAGCGGAGCTGGCAGCCCGACTTGGGGCTCGATCCCAGGACCCTGAGATCATGACCTGAGCCGAAGGCAGACACTTAACTGACTGAGCCACGCAGGTGCCCCTATAACTTTTATTTTGATAGGATTTCAAACCTATACCAAGTTGAAAGAATAAGTGACTCCCATGTACACTTTATCCAGCTGTTTACATTTTCCCTCATTTGCTCTGTGTGTGTGTGTGTGTGTCCCTCTCTTTTGGAGAAAGTTGGAGACGTCATGCCCTTTTACCACCATGTATTTCAGTGTGTTTTTCCTAAGAACAAGGAGGTTCTCTTAAATAACCTAATACAAAGATCAAAGTCAGGAAATTCAGGGGCACCTGGGTGGTGCAGTCAGTTAAGCATCCAACTCTTGGTTTCTGCTCAGGTTGTGATCTCAGGGTTATGAGATCGAGCCCTGTGTCAGGCTCCATGCTGAGAGCTGCTTCAGTTTCTCTCTCCCTCTCCCTCTGCTCATGCTCTCTCTCTCAAATAAATAAATAAACCTTTTTTTAAAAAAATCAGGAAATTCAACACTGACCCAATTCCATTACCTAATCCATATTCAAGTTTTGTCAAATTGACATGTAATGTGTTTTTTATAGCTTGCTTGCTTGCTTTCCTTTCTTTCTTTTTTTGGTCTGATCACACATTGCATTTACTTGTCCTGTCTTTTTAGCCTTTAATTCGGAATCTTTAATCTCAGCTTTTCTTTGTCTTATTCGACCCTGACATTTTTGAAGATTGCAGGCCAATTAATTTTGTAGAACGTCTCACAGTTTGGGTTTGTTCAGTGTAGCTTTGTGATTAGTTTTCAGGTTTTCCGTTTCTGACACACATGCCCCAGAGGTGATGTCATGTCCTTCTCAGGGCCTCCTGTCGGGGGCACATCATGTTGGTCTGTCCCATTGCTGAGTGGTTAACTTCCATCACTTGGTTCCATGGTGTTTGCCGGTTTCCTCCACTTACTGTAAAGTTACCATTTTTCCTTTGTAATTAACAAGCATCTTATGGGGAGATACTTTGAGACTAAGTAAATATCCTCTTGCTCCTCAGATTTTCATTTGCTAGGTTTGACATCCATTGATAATTTTCTAATTCTACCATCCCTTCTTTGTTTATTAATTGGAATTCTACTACGAAGGAAGAGCTTTCCTAGAGGTGTGTTAAGTTCCTCTTTTGGGGACTGAGCCCCTCCTCCTTTCCTTTGCCCACTTAGTTTCTCTCTCCAAACCCACACCCATCTCCACTCCCCACGTCGGCACAATCCTTACATTAGTGAATCTCATTTCTGGGCAATTGGTCTGAACTTTCTGAGTCAAATAAGATTAAGAGGTCATAGATCTAGTTCACACGTCAATTCTGGGGGGATAGGAATGGGGGTTTGGAGGAGGCGAGGAGGTCGGAGTGCCCGTCTCTGCCACTCCTCTCCGTTCTAACACTCTGCTCTCCAGCGGTTGCCCTGTGATGCACTGGGATGGAAGAAAAGGGAGGGTGAAATCAAATGTTGTCTGGGATCCTTATGTAACCTGAGGTAGGGTCAGGGCTGGTGCAGAAACGCAGCCAATTCAGAGAGAAATGGGGCAGATAATCCAACAGAGCAGATCCCACGCCTGTCACTTCCACTCCTGCTCTTGAGTCGACAGACGCATTTCCATCATCTTCCTGTTGCCCCCGTGGGTAATTGAAGCTGATGAGGGCCGGGAACAGAGGATGAGATTAGTCCCAGCTGGGAGCTTCCAGGATTCGTCCTGGGGTTGAACAACCTTACAGGTGAGGTCACTCCTCAGGAAGGGCTACTCTACAGTGTGCCTCTTGGGAGGCAAGGGCTCATTGTGGTGACCGTATCATGCTGAGGGAGGATGTTGTGAGAACAGAATATTCTAGACAAAGAATGTGGGAGAATCTATAGGTCTGGAGAGTAAGGATTTGTCAGTGGTTTTGTTTTTTTTGTTTTTCTCTCTGTGGTGCTAGATACGAGGCTCATTTTTCAGACAGTAATAGACCTTGAGAGGAGAAGGAAAGTTCTCCAACTTGAACTAGAGAAGACATGTAGCTTGAAAGGCTCTGCCACTTCCTGGGTGGGTTTTCCTTGGGCAACTTATTTAACCTCTGAGCCTCAGCTTCCTCATCCATAAAGTTGGTATAACAAACCCGAGGGAGATGGCATATGTGACATAGATGGTTCCTACCAACCATTTAGCATACATTTTTCTACTCTTGTTAAAAAAGAAACATAAGATTGATTTTTAGTAAGCTTAATAAACAATTACTAATGAAAATAGCCTTTTAAAGAACAACCAACCAATCATCACATTGTACACCTTAAACTCACACAATGTTCTTTAAAAGGCTAGTCTGCAATTATATCTCAGTAAAGCTCGGGGAGGGTGGTTGGAAACAAGCCAGATAAACTTCAGTGAGTGAGGAGAACAGCGAGGGGCTATTCGTGCAGTGGAGGACCACTCAGCAAAAGCAAGGAAGGAAGTGTTGATACGCTCAGCAGCTTGGATGGGTCTCCAGGGCATCGTGCTGAGTGAAACCAGCCTATCTTAAAGCGACACACTGTGTGATCCCATGTGTATACCATTCTCCAAGTGGATATACTATAGTCCTGGAGAACAGATCAGTGGCTGCCGAGGGTTATGGTCAGAAGAGGGATGTGACTATTAACACAAGAGAATGTCCTTGCATTGAGATTTACTCCCATCTACACATGTGACAAAATTTCTCAGAACGGTAGACTTACACAGTGCAGTAAAGACTAGGGAAAAAAGAGAGAGAAAAAAAACAACCATTGCTAAGAACCTACCCTAAAAAAATTACCAGAGATATAAGAAAACATATCTATACATAAAGATGTTCCCTGTGTAACGTAAAATATTAAAACCATGTTCAGCAAGAAGGACTGCAGAGTACCCCCTCAAAAAAATAAAATTATTTCAAATAATTTTAAAGACATGGGGCATTCTAAGATAAAAATCCAGGAGATAAAAACATAGCTACAGTCTGGCCTCAATTAGATGAATTCATGGTGGGGGGTGTGGAGGACCAGAAGTCATCACATAAAAGGTGTTGAATAAGACACTTTGGGTGTTGAGGTGGGCTTGTTTTGTGTCCTTCTTGGTTTGTCCATAGGCTTTTTGCTATTTGCTTCATTGTCTGTCCTGTTCCGTGGCTCACACCTTGCTCACCAGCCCTTGATCTGGGGGTGGGACTCCCGAGCAGCATGACCCAATGGGCCAGAGATGCTCTGGGCCTGCAATGTCATTTCGGGTTACAAAGCCCCATGCATGACAGCCACTCTGGGGAGAGTGATGACTCGGGTTCTGGCTTTGGAGAGCTGAGGTCCCCGCCCTCAGAAGCAGGAGCTCCTAGAAGTGGGAGCTCCTTGTGAGGCTCAGCCTGACCAGCCCACTGCAGATACCACCAGCAGCCTCTCACCTCCAACTCAACTGGTGTGGAAGGACAAGAAGCAAGGGCTCCCTCTGCCTCTCGTGTACTGCTTTTGATCATTGCTGTCACATTCTGGTTACTTGGTCAGAGTCACCACGGAGGAGGACTGCACCTCCCTCCTCCCCCTGGGCGGTTAGCCCCCGAGTTCGGTCTCCCCAGCCCCTTCCTGGGTGGGGGTGGAGGAGGCCTGTCCTGCGGGGAAGGTGATGCCCACCTGAGCCTAGATGTGAGCCGTGAGCCGGGCTGGAGCCACGGCCTGTCTGCCTTCCCTCGGGCTCAGAGTGAATGAGAGGGCAAAGGACATTTTTAGTGTGAGCGCAGCTTTCCAATCTTCCAGAACTGCCTTAGTGCCAGATTCAAATGAAGTCAATCACGGATTCATAGATTCATACATATTTATGAGACCTGACACACAGCAGCAGCGCTGTGCGAAGCACAAAGGAGAGACAAAGGCAGTGGAAGCCCCTCGTTTCTCGGGGAGCATGTGATACAGGTAGAGAATGAGACATAGGCACGGAACGGCCAAGCGAGGCCGCCAGAGTAAGACCCAAACTGCGCGGAACAGAGTATCGGGGCCCTGAATGCTAGGAGAGGGAGCGAGAGAGACCACCGTAAGCTGAAGTGGTTGGAGAAGGAAGGCTTCCTGGAGGAGGCGATCCTTGAGCTGGGCCTGGAAGGGCAGGTAGGATGGGGTGATCCCAGACTGGGTAAGGATGCTGGGCTGAAGCCCAGCCATGAGAGAAGCTGTAGAGGCCACGAGGATGGCCGGAGGGGAAGCCCCGGGGCGTGCGGGGATGGATGGGCCAGAATCCGCCCGCCTCTGCGCCCCGGGGAAGCCGGGGCGGGCCTCACAGCTCGCGTCCCCACCGCAGGACAACACCATCGACTTCCTGGAGTATGTGGCAGCTCTGAACCTCGTGCTGAGGGGCACCCTGGAGCACAAGCTCAAGTGGACCTTCAAGATCTACGACAAGGACCGCAACGGCTGCATCGACCGCGTGGAGCTGTTGGACATCGTGGGGGTGAGCGGCTGCCGGGGGCCCCCTGCGGCTGGGGGCGGCATTGGAATCATTCAGAGGGTGCTTTCCGACCCCAGTCAGAATTAGGCTAGAAAGTGATCACAAAAAGGTACCTAAAAAATTCCCATCAGTTTGGAAATAAGGCAACACACTCCTAAATATTCCAGACATCATAGAAATTATACCACACACATAGGCGCACCAAGTATTTTGAACTGGATATTAATGCATGCGTAACATAACAAAACGGGGGAATGTAGCCAACGCTGGGCTGGCAGAGGCTTTTTAGCCCTAAAATGTATATGCTAGAAAATGAGAGACTGAAGATCAATGACCTTACAAGTCATCTCAAGAAATTAGAAAAAAACAGGGGCGCCTGGGGGCTGAGTCGTTAAGCGGTTAAGCGCCTGCCTTCGGCTCAGGTCATGATCGCGGGATCCTGGGATCCAGCCCCGAGTCTGGCTCCCTGCTCAGTGGGGGGTCTGCTTCTCCCCCCTCCCCGCCCCTCCCCCTGCTTGTGCTCTCTCTCTCTCTGACAAATGAATAAATAAAATCTAAAAAAAAAAAGAAGAGTAAATTAAACCCAGAGAATAGAAGAAGGGAAATACTAAAGAGCAGAAATTAATGAAGTAGAAAAGAAGCACACAGAGAAGAAAAGTCAACAAAACTGAAAGCTGGTTCTTTGCAGGACTAACCACGCTGATAGACGATTAGCAAGAATGAGCAAGGAGGCAAACGTCCCTAGTATAGCTCGGACTGACCCCTGACCCATGTCAGCCTGTTCCTCCCCAGAACTGTACTTCCAAGTGGGGGTTGTCCACCCAGGTCACAGATCAAGAAGTCGCCTCGGGGCAGTTCTGTGGTCTGCCCAAGTTTATCCATCCCAGGAGGTCGAGGGGGCAGTTCTGTGGTCTGCCCAAGTTTATCCATCCCAGGAGGTGCCAGGGCTGTAGCTCCAGGGCTCCCAGACCCTGTCAGCGGGGCCCACCGTGTCCCAGGCACCGCGCTAGGCCGTCAGGCCCTGGGATCGACAAGAGAGGCCTCTGTCCTCAGAGCGCCCCATCGAGAAACTAAGGAAAACCCTCACAATTCTCTGTCTCTTCCCCACTGCCCTTCACCAACAGTGCCTCACAGGGAGGGGACACAGGGCAAAGGAGAAACCTGTTTTTCCCTCCAGTCCAAACCCCAGTATCTCCCATCATCCAATGTTACACATACGCCCATAAGTACACTTCATGCTCTCCTCTCTGGATCTCCATCTCTCCCTGCGTAAAGTGGAGCTGAGACCACCACAGAGCCGGGTACCTCCCTCACTGAAGGGTTTGGGGCTCACTCTGAAGCTCACAGGGGAAAAGCCACTAGCTAGCATCAGGGTGGGGTGGCCTGTGAGGCCTGACATGCAGTTGGACCCTGAGAGAACAGCCTTAGGACGGGTCACTTTTTATTAGGGTCTGGGTCCTGTGGTCCTAAGACGCACCAGCTTGGGTGGGGGGGGCAGTGCTGGGGACGCAGGGCTGAGGGCCTGGGGTCCTGGCAGCGGGAGGAGGGAGGGAGCGCGCAAGCTCTCGCTGAGGGCCCTCGCTCGGGTTTTATCCCGTAGGCGATCTACAGGCTGAAGAAAGCCTGCAGGATGGAGATGGAGTCTGAGCAGCACGGACAGCTGCTCACACCCGAGGAGGTGGTGGACAGGATCTTCCTTCTGGTGGATGAGAATGGAGATGGTAATGGGGGCCAGCGATGGGGGGTGGCCCACTCCACAGCACCCCCAGGCCCTCCATCTCCCAGCCACTGTTCCCCTCAGCTGGGTGCTGGGGGCGGAGAGGAGGACATAACCTAACCGGGGTGTCGCTGGCACGTGATGTTGGCCAGAGCGAATTAAGCTCCCACCGGAGCTGCCGAGGGCAAGCGCAGTGAAAGAGTAGGAGCGTTAGAGTCAGGCAGACCGTTTCACCGCTCTGCCCAGACTCAGTTTCCTCATCTGGAAAAAGGGATGATAGTAATTCCGAGGAATCAATGGGGTGGGGTATTGGAGAGATGGGCATAGGGTAGGCCCCCATTCAGGCTACTGAGGCCTCCTGCCCTGTAGCTTAGCGCAGCAGCCCCAAGGCTGCGGAGGGAGGGAGCTGGCTGGGAACACACCCAGAAGAGCCCTCAGGAACATTTTGAAGGTACCATGGGCCAAAGTAAACTTAAATTCATTTGCAAGTGCCTTTAAGAAACTCTTGAAGCTTCCAGGAGACTCCTGGAGAACGGGGAGAATTGACCAGCCCCCAGGCTTGGGCCCCGGGACTGCAGATTCCTTTGTGTAAGAGGTGTAGGCTTGTCTAAGAGGATGTCCCCTGGGAGAGGAGGCCTCTCCTCTTGCCCCCAGCCCCATGTCTTCATGCTCCCATGCGACCATCGCTCCCACCCCTTGCTCAGGCCAGCTGTCTCTGAATGAGCTCATCGAAGGTGCCCGCCGTGACAAGTGGGTGATGAAGATGCTGCAGATGGACGGGAATCCCGGTAGCTGGATCTCTCAGCAGAGGCGGAAAAGTGCCATGTTCTGAGGGGTCTGGGGTCCTGGGAGCCCAGTTCGAGTCCACAGGCCCCTCCAAGACTCCAGGCTCTCCAGGTTTCCAGAATAGTGAGAGGGTCCCTGGCCCAGCCTGCTTGTGCCCACTCTTCTCTGGCACCCCCTATGAAAGGGGTTGGGGCTGAGGGGGGTGGATCGGGGCTGTCGGTCTCGAGTGGCCAACAGGACACAGTCCACTGGGAGGATTTACTGGGGTGGTGAAGGGAACTGGCTTCCTCTCTCCTTTCAGCTGCTTCTGAGAAAAGTATGCTTCGGCTGGGTGGGTGTGGGGCGCCCACAGTTTCCTACCTGGTTCTTAGCTGGAAGCAGGGGAATACTGAGGGATTGGGGGGTCCCATAGACCAAATTAGCAATGAGACTGCCCACACACTGTGAAGGCCAGGGGCTGGAAGGTGTCGAGACTGAAGAAAAAATAGAAGTTGGGGGGTGAATGTGATCATAATTACATCCTCCCAGGATCCTGAAGAGTTCATGGGGAGGAGTCTTGCCTCCCCCTCCCCAACTTGTCTTCACCAGGGGTGTCCGCAAGGGAAAATTGCAGCCAGTAAAGCTCTGGTCTTCCGGCCCTCAGCTGTGCTTAAAGGAGCTGTTTCAGCTCTGCCCTGGTGCTGCTCCCCCAGCCCCTGCTGCCAACCCACATCCCCACACAACCCTCCTCTCCCCCTCCCTACCCCTCATCCCACACCGGCCTCTCCACCGCCCCCCTCCCCCGCCCCCCTCCCCCGCCCCCCATGGACCTGCCCGATTCCCAACCACAAGCCGGAGGAGTCTCCTTGAAGGATGGGGAAACCTCTGTCTCTGGGGAGAATTGGTTCGAGGCCCGGCTTTGCCTCCAGCTGCCAAGTGACCCAAGGTGGCCATTTCTCTCTTCCTAACCTCAGGTATCTTCCCTGCGCACTGAGCAAGTTGGAGAAAGCAGGGGGTTTTCTGATTATTATTTTTTTAGATGTGGAATTATTTTGTCGTACAAACTCTATGTGCAGCCCCAGTGCACAAACTAGATTTAAATAAAGGGAGTTGTTCGAAGAGATGTCTTTACGTTGATGGATGAAAAATAAAACTCACCTACTGAACTGCAATTTCACAGGCATGATATTCATACAAAGTTTCCTTTAGAAATAAATTTTAGGTAAAAAACGGTCGATTTAAAAAGACTAGTAATCCAGGTGAGACACAGATCCGCCCCCGAGTCAGGAAGGTGGTGTGTGCTTGACAATGGGGAAATGTCCTAACTCCGTTCAAATACCCTCCCACCTCCCACCTTCAGGATTTCCCAAGAGGCAGCCACCAAGAGAAGGCGCAGAAATGTCAATTGCATTTTGTCCCAGGCTGCCCCTGGCATTGATCTCCACCTTCCTGCCAGGTCTGTGCACAGGCCCTGGCTGACTTCCCAGGCTGGGGTGGTCCCGGTGATCTGTAGGACCCTCTCTTCCCCGCCCCCCCCCGGGGTGGGGGCTTCATTCCTCTTGCCCCTTGTTTTCTCTCTCCTCGCCTTATATTTTTATTCACTCCTTGTCCTTTCCCCACACCCAGCTGAAGTGAAGACTCAAAGCCCAGAAGAAGAAGCATCTTTGCAAAAATGATCACAACTGCTCCAGCCTGTGTCTCTCCCCAGGTTCTCAGACAGGTCTTCCTAAAGCTGGCGTGTGCAAAGAATGGGAATGGGGCCCACCTGTAACAGCCTGGCCCACTTCCCAACTGGTGTCAGGTGTCACTGCAGCAAGAGGGATTTAGGTTAGACCAGGGATGGATAGTCCGGACACTTGCCACAGGCAATGAGTCGCAGAGCTGTGGGAAACCCCAGGGCACCCCAGGCCACTGCAGGGCCAGCAGGGAAAGTCAGCGTGCTTTGCCGTCACTTCTAACTGAAGACGGATTTCCTCGGGATAAATGAGGACTTTCTACAGTACCATAGCTTCTCTTCCCATATTTTATTATAATGATGCTTAGCCGGTTAGTTCCTTAGGGATGAGATCTATCCTCTTCTCGGCATGTCCAATATCCTGCGTTCATACGAAGGAGGTGTGCAATAAATGCTTCTGGGAGGGAGGAACAAATCAACGCACCACACAAGTAGGCTCGTCATGCTGGGGTGCAGGTTGGGTGCGTGATGGCAGCACCTGAGCTGTAGGATTCCATCGGCGTCCGGGAAAGCCCAGCCCTGCGGCGGAGCTCCCTGGACTGGGAAAGAGGGGGACTGGAGCAGTTCAGTGGGAAAAGCTCGGGGAGGGCCCTGAGGGCCCCCCAGCAGGAGGCAGTCACCACGTGCTGAGTCATGCACAGGGTTCAGGAACCATCCTCTGTACTCCCACCCCTGCCCTTCTGACCCGGCCCTGCACCCCAAAGAGGCGAGCTGAGCCTTTGAGTTCAGTAGACTGCATCTAGTATTACAATGAGGACCCCAGGCACCAACACACATCCCCTCCCCAATGCAGAAGCAGCCCGGGTGGGCTCAGCTGGCTGCCTCAGTCTCCCTGCCGCTGGCCCCCTCCCCGCCCTCCTCCTCTTGCTCGCTGCTCTGGAGCCTGCGAACGATGCGGGTGAGGTCCAGGCTCCGTGTCAGTGTGTCCAGGAGCATCTGGTCCTTCTGGACGCCCTCGATGAACTCCTCCAGGGAGAGTTCCCCTGGGACAGAGAGAAAGGGAGTCAGGGGGAGGAGGGTGCCCCCGTCTCCCCGGGAGCATTGTACTGGGGCCCAGAGCCAGAGTCTTGCAAAGGGGACAGAGCCAGCACTGGGGAAAGTGAGGCTATGGGGGGAGCAGGCAAAGGAGCCAGAGCCCAAAGTCTGGTCCAGGGGTCCCTAAAATCCAACTCTTGTGGCTGGGGCAGGGGCAGATGGAGAATGTGGCCAGCAGAGGCCCCTCTTTACCTGCCCCCCCCCGCCCCCGCCCCCGCCCCTCTCCCCTGGCGGCCCCCATCCCGCCCTCCTCACCGTCCCCATTGACATCAATCTTGGAGAACACTGTATTGGTGAACTCTTCGGCACTCATGGTCGAGTCGCTGCAGGGGTTAATGGCCCGGATGGCCTGGGGAGAAGAAGGGAAGGACCCATCCTAGCTCGGCCTCAGTGGTGCCCAAACAACAGACTGGGCACTAGAGGCCGCGCTGAGGTTTAAGAGCTTGTCTCGGTACAGATGGAACAACAGAGGCCCAGAGAGTGGACGGCCCGTGGCCTGGGTCACGTAGCTGCCCCCCACCCCCACCCCGCGCCCGGCCCTCAGTCCCAATCGTGTCCCCTTCTGACACTGCAATTCTGCCGGCTGAAGAGCCGCCCCGCCCGGCCGCCCTCGGGCTGTCAGCTCCGGGTCCGCCCGGGCCGCTGCCCCCGCCCCGGCCCGGCCCTCGGCACCTGGAGTTACCCGGATGATGGTGAGCAGCTCGTCGCGGTCGATACATCCATTGCCATCGACGTCGTAGAGCTTGAAATACCAGCGCAGTTTCTGTTCCACCTTCCCTTTGAGGACCAGGCTGAGCGCAGCCACGTACTCCATGAAATCGATGTAGCCGTCCTGGGCGAGAGGCGCAGCCGCCTTGAGCCCGCTCCCCAGAGGCCCCAGGAGAGGCTGAGCCGCGCCCCGCGCTCTTCCTGCCGGGGTCCCTCCGCTTCTGTCCCCGCCTCCAGGCAGCCCGCCTGGCCTGCCCCAGAGGCTGCCAGCATCTCTGGTAAACCCCGCCCCCAGGGTGTGCTCTCTCTTCACTGGCATTTTGGTGCTAACGGTCACTGGCTTCTCCCATGTGAGTCTCCAGCTGGAGCCCTTCCAGTTGCAAGAAGGTGTGTGTAGGTGGAGGAAGAGGAACGGAACCCCTGGGGAAAGGCGTGGTTTTTCGAGCTGGGGAGAGGGCAGGGGGTAGAAAGGGAGGAAGGAACACCTGTCTTATTCTTCCCATTATTCTTCGAACTTTACTGAGCACCTTGTTCGGTCGGGGATAGACAGAGGCTTCAGAACTCAGTAAGATATGAGCCCCGTCCTGATGCACCCTGCTGGGATGCAGGGTTGAATCCTGCCTTCACCCTCTCAAAGCTGTGGGATCTGGGACAAAGGACTCAATGTCTCTGGCCCTCGATTTCCTCATCTGTAACAGTCATAGTAGTACCTACCTCTGTGGGATTGTGGTGGGATTAAGCGAGTTTATGTATCTAAAGTACTCAACACTGCCTGACATCTAGTAAACACTGAGGAAATGTTAACTCTTACTGTTACTACACTTACTATGATCGTTTCTATAAAGAGATCACTAAGGCGCCTGGGTGGCTCAGTCAGTTAAGCATCTGCCTTCAGTTCAGATCATGATCCTGGGGTCCTGGGACTGAGCCCTGCATCGGACTCCCTGCTCAGCGGGGAGCCTGCTTTTCCCTCTCCCTCTGCCTGCAGCTCTGCCTACTTGGGCTCTGTCTCTCTCTGTCAAATAAATAAAATAAAAATCTTAAAAAAAAGAGAGAGAGAGAGATCAGTATGCCTTCACGATGTAATGCAGTGACAGCACGTCTGGACAGGACATTATGGAATCACAGAACAAGATCGCACAACTCTGCCAGGACAGAGGCCAGAGGAGAGGCTCAGGGAGGCTTCCTGGGAACGGTGATGGCCTCTTGAGTCTGGGAGGGATTGACCATGCGAGAGGGTGGCACAAGACATGCTTAGGGGGTATTTCTCCAGGGTCCCCCAAATTTCACAGGCTGACCCGCTGTCCGCCCCTGCCAGCCCCACCAGTGGGGTCAGGGAAGTGGGGAACATAGGCCTGCCTCTGCCCATCTCGCCCCCAAGCTGAGTGAGGCTGGAGGAGGGAAGCCTGTGTTTTGCAGAAAAGCTGAGCACTCTAAAGGAGCCCTGCACTCAGAGCGTGTGAACTTGGAGTCCAGCCCCTGTTCCTCCACTTACTCACAACCCCGGCTCCGGAACTGGGAAGTTACCCAGAGGCACATTTGGGGTCAGAAGGAAGACCTCTAACGGGCAGATTTGCCGCTGGTGGATGGGCCAGGCTCGTGCAGTAATGAGCTGCCTGTCACTGAAAGCATACAAGCAGAGGCTGGAGCACTGTCATTAAAGATGTGGCAGAGGCTGGGCAGGATAGCCTCTGAGATCTGGCTCTGTGCCCGCCCTAGGCCTCAGGTGAGGCCTCGATGAGCTGGAACCCCACACTGGGTGTCGTATCATACTGAACATTTGTGTGGTACTTCCCTGTGTTCATAGGCTTTCACATACACCTTAGCTCATTCGATCTTTGCCCGACCCCTGCCCGGGGTTGTCCTCAGAACAGAGCAAAGCCCCCCGTGCCACAATGCTCAGAGAAGCAAGAAAAACAGCAAGGAGGTTTCTCCTGGGCAAGAGGACACAGAGCGAGGACACTTTTGTTTTTCATTTTTTCTCTCTATTGTGGGAAATGTTTACAGTGAGCTGTACAAAATTACTTTCATGATTTTTTTTTTAAATGGCTAAAAGGGGGCAATGGAAAAGTATGGGCTTTTGTGCCAGAAAGAGCTAACTGACATCTTAGGAGAATATGGCCTTGAACAAGTCAGCCTCTCTGAGCCTCGCTCCCTCAGCTGGACACTGGGAATGATAGTGCCCGCTTTTCAAGACTGTCGTTTGGGTGAAATTCAGTAAGGATACACAGCGATACTCACTTCTTTCTAGTGCCTCCTGCTGAGTGTGTTATTTGCTTTCCTCATTTAATCTCACGACCCCCCGGGAGGGGGGATTTTTCATCCTCATTTTCAGATGAAAGCTGAAGCTGAGAGGAGTTAGACGCCGTAACCAATGAATGAGCAAGCCTTGGCTAGAAACTAGGTGGCCCAAATCCTACCCGGCGCTCAGAGGCAGGGCTAAGGTTTACATCGATTTGTGTGCACCTGTGTGAGTGCCGGGCACGGCCAAGCCCAGGCAAAACCTTGAAGTAAGCAAAGTACGTGCTTATCCCCTGGGGCACACTCCCCGATCACGCTGCTGCACCCCCCAACCTTGCCCTCCTGGCACAGTCCACCGGGATGCAACTGTTCCGCTAACTCAGGGGCAGGCTGGCCAACGTCTTCTGAAAAGGGCCAGATAGCAAATATTTCCGTTTGGGTGATGTGCAAACAAGTGCGCGTGGTGTGTTCTAATAAAGCTTCATTCACAAAAATGGGCCCACGGGCCATCGTTTGCACAGCCCCGCTTAACTTCCCGCTCCGGTGTCCCATCTCTCTGCCGATCTGCCGCGCTGCTCTCTGCTCGGGACAATGGGTAGAAGGCAATATTGCCCAAAGGGGATTGACACCGTTGGTGTATGTGAGGCCTTTTAGAGTTACAAAGACACTCTTCATTTTAATAATTATGTATTTAAATTAATGTGCATTATAAAACACAGAATTCGCCCATAGAACTCATGATTTCTCATATAACAAATACTTGTTAAGCACCTACCGTGGTCCAGGCATCGTTCTAGGTCCTGGGGATACAGCACTGAACCAGACAGACAAAAATCTCTGTCCTCGTGGAGCTCACATTCCAGCGGGGGAGACAGACAACAAACATAGTGGCTAAGTGTAATTCAGCACGTCTTGGAAGATGAGACGTGCTCTGGTTGGGGGAAGGTAGGACAGGAAATGCAGGGGCAGGGGCTAGCCCCAGTTAAACAAGGTTTCAACCAGGAAATCACAGCAGGTGTCAGAGGGAAGGAGAATTTGGGGCAGAGACTTGTAGCGGGGGAAGGTGTGAGCCAAGCAGAATTCTGGAGGAAGAGGGTCCCAAGCATCACAAAGGCCATAAGGTGAAGGTGTGCATGGTGTCATCAAGGAACTTTGGGGCAGTGGAGGTGATGCTTGCAAATACAGGGTTTTGGGTTGTCCCTCCCTGCTGTCATACATGTGATTTTAGGGGGTCCTTCTGGAGATGTGTCTTGATCCCAAGGGTTTCCTTAGCAGGTGAGAAGCTGCGTGTTTGGGTATAAGGCATTGAGGCTCAACCATTACTTTCCTCCCTGCTGTTCAGGAATTATTCCTTCTTGTGGAGCACTTGGAGGGCCCAGCATGCTGATGCCAACCCTTCTGGTCTCCAAGCCGTGGGTGCCAGTACTCTGCTCCCCAGCAACGCCCCCCCCCAAGGAAAGCCACTGGGCACCAGAATGCTGCCCTTGAGGTTGGGACTCAAAGCCCATAATCTGCTTTGGCCCCTTGGCCCTAAATATTAGTGAGTTTTAAATAGCCTCTGAGCCCCAGCTGTCCTTAGAAGCCCTGCCCACAGTGGTGTTTGGACCCTCTGGGCAGTGAAGGGGGCCGAGAAGGCTCTGGGCAGCCTGTCCCCAGCTTGAAGTGGATGCATGGTAGAGCATCATCACATCCTGAGTGGGGCCCAGTGGGGTGGGGAGACAGGTGTGTAGATTTGGGTCCTTCTGCCACTGCATCTTGACTGAATTGCTCCAAATAAATGGAAGATTTGCTCTTAAAACCAACAAACATCTTGACTCATGCTCTCAACATCCATGGCAGATGCGGGTACTGAGCTGAGGATGGTGGGGGGGGAATGCTGGGTGAACGGCCACCCAGCTGATGAAAACTAAGGGTCCTAACTCACTGTGCCCAGCCCATGCCCCCGTACCCCTCTAGCTGATCAGGAAGTCCTCAGCCCGTGTCCCAGTGATGACTCAGGGAGAGTACCATTTGACCACCGTGCAGACCTTCATTCAGACCCACTTGAGAGAAGGTGAGCTGAGGTCATTGGGCACTTTGGAGTCGGGAGTAGCCCGGAGGTCCCAGCAACCAAGCAGCCTGGCCTGTCCCCAGAGCATCACGGGTGACCACAGAGCATCAGGGACGACCCACGTAACATGGGCCTGCCTGAGCCAGGCCAGCCGGGGCCAGAGGCTTATCATCCTGCTCTCTCCTCTCCATTCCCTCTCCTCCTGTACCCTGTGAGCCTCTAAGCGCCTGGGCAAAAGCTCCAGGCATAGCACCCAGCACTTAGTAGGTGCTCAACGACTGTCTTCTAAGTGTTCACACTTGTTCTTGGAGTAAACCGAGACATGTGTGTGGACGAGGCAGAGGAAGCCATTTAGATTGGGTCTGTGGGCTATGTATACTAACCTATGGACCCCTCTGTCTTCCCCTGGAAGGTGAGGGCACAGATGGGGCCTGGTTTTTTTCTGAACCCCCGGTGCCTGACTCACAGTAGGTGCTCAATGAACATGAGATCAGTTGACTCCCTAACGTAGCCCCGGATACACAGAGAAGCACACCCCCTCCTGTGGCAGACGCCATGTTCCGGCACCTGGCGCCCCCAGCCCTGCACTGCCCAGGCCTCCAGCGCCCCCCACCCAGGCCTCCGCTCACTTTGTTGAAGTCAAAAGTCTCAAACATCTGCTCCACATACTGGCTGGCGGACGGGCTCAGGTTCTTGAGGCCGAAGAACTGACGGAACTCGTAGAGGGTGAGCTGGCCAGAGGGGCACTCGGTCATGAACTTCTTGTACCACTGGTGGCACTCGGTGCTGCTCAGCTCCTCCACCGACTTCCCGTCCATCACATTGCCCATCTCCCAGGCCTGCGCGGGGCCGGCGCCCGAGGTGGATGGATCCTGCTCCCAGCGGCCCCTGCCCCAGGGCGGCTTGGCTTTCTAACCCTGGGCCCTCCTCGCTCACAGGCCAGAGTCCTCCCAAGCTGAGCAAAGAGGGTCTGATGAATCAGACAGCGCAGGGAAATGTCAGGAAGTGGTGAGCAGAGGGACGAAGGTAATGGGGGGCTGCGCAAGCCCACGGCCAAATCCAGGAGATGTCGGAGAACCGGCGTTAAGTCCCCACTAAACCCTTGCAGCCAATGGGGACTGCTCCTAGGAAAGAGGAGTGAAAATAGAACAAAGCTTAGGGAAGCAGAGGCCCAGGATTATGGCCTTGAGCTGATAGGTGAGAGGATTTTCTTACCCATTTTGCAATCTCCTTATTCCTTCTTACCAGGACGGAATGGGTGGCCAGCCAGTCAGCCAGTGACTGTTCTGATCCCGTTACCTCCACTCCCCTCTCCTGCTTTGAGTGGGTTCTCAATGTTTTTGGTTCCTGCCCTCAGACATGGAATTGAGGTACATATGAGATAGAGCTGGTTCCTTTTCCACAGGTGGGCCAGGTGTGGACTCCTGACAGGGCTGCTGTGTCCAGTTATCCAGGCTGTGCACTGCACCTGGCCAGCACAACTAAGGGGTTCTGGTCACACCACGGATAGTTAATATATGAGAGCACCTGACTGATGCAGAGTTTGTGGACTTCCAAGACGAGTCCCGAGCAGCTAGGGGAAATCTCCTACATAACACTATACAGGTACTCACAGGCATGGGCACGCACACTCACTGGTCCTCTTCTGACCACACTCTTACATTCCCCGAGACTCATCCCAGGAGGCCTGAATTCAACCTTCCATTTGATCCACACTTGATACCATCCCCGCCCAGGGCCATGGGGATGGGGGACATTGAGTGTGTGCCTAGTGGCCTGGGGAACGTGTGTGTGTGTGTGTGTGTGTGTGTGTGTGTGAATGAGGGCACCAGCACACAGGTGCATGGTGAGCTGCTACTGCTCGTCCTGGAATGTTCCCAGGCTAAGCCTAGGGGCCCGCCTAGGATGAGGGTTGTCCCTCCCACACAACACTGTTGTGTTCATGAGACCTGTAACTAGAAGGAAGCAGCCAAAACGTTAACACGGCTCAAATCTGGGTCATGACATCATCAGTGGAATTTTAATCTTGGCTTTTGAAAAACTACCTGTATTTTTTAAGTGGTTTATAATGAACACATATGGCTCACAAGAACAGAGGACAGCTGTTTTTGAAAAAGATACCAAATAAGACTGCTTTGCTTCTCCTCTGCCTGAAGTGATGAACACGGGGCACACTGGGCCAGGGTGGGAGGGAGCTGGGGCCTGCCTGCTTCCATCGAGCTGTCTGGTGAGTGTCTTGGGTCTGGGGCCGGGGCAGGGCAGCACTCCTCCAGTGAACCCGGGTGGGGGGCTCTCCTCCAGGCTAACATCCTTGTCCTTGGAGTCCTCTCGGCTTTGGGGTTTGGGCTGAAGGGCTCGAGGATGAGGTAACAGCTCATCTTTCCATCGCTCCCAGTTTACATCCTCCCCCCACCCTTCCTGTGTGAGCACAGACACACCCTCCCCCGTGAGCCCTTCCGAATCTCGGCAGAATTCATTTTTCTTGCCTCAGCACACTGTTTGCTTACGTGTTATATTAGCTTCCTACACTGCTTAACTATTACCACAAAGTCAGTAGCTGCCAACTCTACACCTTCATTATCCCGCGGTTGCTGTGGGCCAGGAGTCTGGGCATAGCTTCCCTGGGTCCTCTGCCCCGCGTCTCAAAGGGCTGTGATCAAGGTGTCATCTGGGCCGTGTGTGCATCTGGAGGCTTGACTGGGGAAGAATCCACATCCACCTCCTTTAGGTGGTTGGGAGAATTCATTTCCTGGCTATCGGATTGAGGGCCCTGGCTTCTTGCTAGATACTGTCTGGAGGCCACTCTCGGGTCCTAGAGGCTGCCCACAGTTTCTAGAAGCTGTACAGATTTCCTTGTTACAGGGGCTCCTCAATGTGGCTGCTTATTTCATCAAGCCAGCAAGGAGAATCTCTCTCCAATCTGCTACAATGGAAGTTTATAGGGTCACTAACCAAGGCAATATGCCATCCCGTTACCTTTGCCACGTTCTGTGAGTGAGGTGTGAGTCACGGGTCTCCCTGAGCCTCAGAGGAAGAGGATTGTGCCAAGGCAGGAACAGCAGGAGATGGAAGTCCCGGGGATCACCTTCACATCTATGACAACGTCCACACTTCTATGATAACATACATAATGTTCATTTCTTTCTTGCATTATAAGCAGCTGTGTATTGTCAGCCTGTCCTTGGGAACTCAGGGTAGAGGCCACTGTGTTATTCACCTCTTGTACCCAAACTGTACCCAGTACCGGGAATTCCACACGGTCGTGTTGCTGGTTATCCTGTTGGCCCCCTCCCTACTCATTCTCCAGCTTTCTCTGTGTGCTCTGAGCTCCAGGAGGCTGACCCCTGCGGACTGGATCACTCGGGCTCCCCTGCCCTCTGGCTCCCAGTGGTTCATCCACTGGGAAGCAGTGGAAGGAGACTGGCTGGGAGTAGGACAGAGAAGGCTGGGTACCTGTTCCCTGCCATCCCTACTGGGTCCCAGTTGGGGCCCTCATTGGTTTCTTCTACCTTCAACCATAGCTCCTAGGAAAACTCTCCCTGGCCTCCTGTGGCAAAGCCACCTCCCTTTACCGCTCAGGCTTGGAAGCAAATGGGCTGCCCTCTGTGGCCACTCTCTGGGCATGTCACCAGTCCCTCAGCGATACCCCCTTCTCTGCAAACACTCCCCTCATTAAACACTCTTCAATTACCTTTCTGAGGGTAACACCTGGCTGACAGAGGCTTGAGTGCAGTAAAATGGTGAGTGAGTGCATGCGTGTGGGCTTGATTGAAGGAAGAATTAAAGAAGGCTAGAGTAGGATGGATCTACCATCCAACATCTCCTGTGTTCAGGGCACCATGCTAAGCTTGCAGAAGAGGCTTACAACGGCCCTGTGGGGTGGGATTATTTCCACGTGACACAGAGGAACTGGGAACAGAAAAATCATTCTGAGGTTCAAAGAAATTCAAAGTGGCGGAACCAAAGTTTTCCACCTCAATACCATGCTTTTAGGCTAAGCCTTTAAATCTCTGAGGAAGGCCCCGGGTGGAGGTGGAGGGGGGCCCTCCAGCCCCGACTCCAGCATCTTCCCCGTGGCCCTTCTGCATGAACAATTCTAGTGACAGGGGTCTCAGTACGTTTGGGTGTGGGGCCCCCATCCTTTTTCTCGGACCCAGGGTGGGAATGAAATCCGCCAGCTTCCCCATTCCAGAGCCCAGTGTCTCCCCCTTCCGGGGCTTCTCTCAGTCCCATTCTCCATTCTTCTCCCAGACATGGATGCCAAGTTAGGAGGGCTGGGGTCCACACCGGGGCCTCCAAGAAAAGGTGACCACACAAGAGAGGTATGGGGGGGCAGAGGGCAGCTGATGTGGTGTCACGTCAGAGGGAGGCCCTGTGGCTTCCCCAGGCTGGTTTGTAACTGCAGGAACCCCTCCTGGGGCAGGTGCCAGAGCAGCGTGAGAGGATCCACCTGGCTGAACGGTGCCAAGGAGAAGGAGCGAGTGGGGCAGGTGTGCGGAGGCAGAAGCTGGGCTGGGAAGAGATGGGAGGGGCAGCCATCCCAGGCCTGACTGATCCCCGCCCAAGGCTGCCCGTCCCCCTCTTTCCCCCTCCACAGAAACAGATCAGAGCTCTGGGCACCCGGTCTTTGCCTTCTGGAACTATCCCGCCCACACCCATGTGCATCCTGGGCCAGCTTCTTTTAAAAAGTCCCTTGGAGGGCGCCTGGGTGGCTCAGTCATTAAGTGTCTGCCTTTGGCTCAGGTCATGATCCCAGGGTCCTGGGATCAAGCCTCACATGGGGCTCCCTGCTCAGCGGGGAGACTGCTTCTCCCTCTCCCACTCCCCCTGCTTGTGTTCCCTCTCCCGCTGTGTCTCTCTCTGTCAAATAAACAAAATCTTAAAAAAATAATAATAAAATAAATAAAAAATAAAAATAAAAAATCCCTTGGAAGCTTCCATCAAGGCTGCTCTACCAAGGTGAACCTCAAGGGGGAGACCATTCTCCAGGGGAGAGGAAAAGGCGTCAGTTGAGGGAGTGAAAATGCTGGGCCCCTACCTCCCCCCCCAACGCTGTCCCCTACTACACCCCACCTGGTTCTCAGGTTTTGGGGGGGCAGAGATGGTTCTTAGACATTTTTGCAGCCTACGGACCCAGCCTTCGGGTGTTCAGCAAGGGTCCGTTGGATGATTGGGTGGATGTATAACTTTTATTTACACCTAGACTGAAAATTTTATCTCTGCTTTTCAAAATCCAACGAAAATGGCAATAACGTTTTTAAATCTACCAACCTACAGAGACAAAGAGAAAGAAGACAGCAGGTGAGAGGTTCTAATAAAACTCTGGACAACAGAAGGCAGATGGACAAGGGGTAACTGTCTCAGTGCAGAAAGTTGAAACCCAAACACTTCGAAAGAGCAGGGTGGGAATGCAGAGGATGGTACAGACATGGGGCCTATACCTGCCACCGAACTCGGCAGGCTCAGAGGTGGGTGCGGGAAGTGCCCTAGAAGCTGGGGTGCAGGACGGGGCGGGGGCCGAAATAGGAGGACAGGTGGAAAGCCCCCCAGATGCCCTCCACAAGGCAGCAGGATGGACATCTCTGGGCATCCATCCCCTGCCCCTGGCTGGAGCTTATTCTGGAACCTTGGACCCGAGAGGCTGGAGAAGAGAAAAGGGTCGCTCTAGAAACTGGGAGTTAAGGGAGAATCTGCATACGAAGAGACCCCCAGCTCTTTCTCATGCTGACTCCTCAAATACCAACAGACAATCAGGCAGGAGCGACCTGGTACAGAGGTCAAATGGCCGGCTTCCAGCCAAGGATCACCAGGCGCTTGAGGAAAGCCTCTGGCTTTTGAGAGAGAGCGTACCACAAACAAACAAAAACTCTATACTGTGAGGTACCTTCAGGAGGGCTCACGTCCTTCTTCCCTACCCACCATCTTCTTTTCAGAGAAGGGCCTCCAGGGAGGCCTGGCCAATGCCTCAGTGGCGTGCTGGGTCTCCAGAATCCTGTCCCTCCATCCCACCCCCACCCCACACTCTTATGCTCCAAAGGGATGTTCCATTGGCTGCACCGCCCCACCTGGAAGGAGCGGTGACTCCTAGAAATGAAGCCAACTGGATTCACCCAGTGGGGTGCTGCCAGATACTTGACAACTGGCTCCCGGGAAAGAAGAAACCCCAGTTTGCAGGCGTTTGCTGGTTTCCAACGTGGTTGCCAACGTGAAGTCACAGGAGTCCCAATCTCAAGTTCCATCCCCAACGTGAAGGAGAGGTCCACAGCCGTTCCCCTCAGGCCCATCTGAGCTGGTTCCAGCACACCGC